CCAGGGATGGGGCATCGACCACCTCTCTGGGCAACCTGTGCCAGAGTTTCGCCACCCTCAGCATAAAGAATTTCTTTTTTATATCCAGTCTGAATCTCCCCTCTTTTAGTCTAAAACCATCACCCCTTGTCCTGTTGCTACAGGCCCTGCTAGAAGGTCAGTCCCCATCTTTCTTAGAAGACCCCTTTCAAGTCCTGGCAGCTGCTCTAAGGTCTCCCTGGAGCCTTCTCTTCCCCAGGCTGAGCAGCCCCAGCTCTCCCAGCCTTTCCTCCCAGCAGAGGGGTTCCAGCCCTCGCATCATTGCTGGGGCCTCCTCTGGCCCTGCTCCCACAGCTCCAGCTCTGTCCTGTGCTGAGGGCTCCAGAGCTGGACGCAGGACTCTCGGGGGGGTCTCAGCAGAGCGGGGCAGAGGGGCAGAATCCCCTCCCTTGCCCTGTGCCCACGCTGCTGCAGATGCAGCCCAGGATGCAGCTGGTTAGTTCATCCAGCGTGTTGAAGCTAGGGGTGACATGAAGTTGCAGGTTTCCAGCAAATAACTCTATTTACGTGTGTGGGGGCCATGCCTCCCCATCCTGTGCCTAGCAGTGTGCAGTCACCAGCTGCTAGCGAGGGTTAAATGTGCTTAATGTCTGTGTTCCACCATTCAGAAGGGAAATACCTGTGAGAGGGGAATGCCACATCCGTGTGTGAGTAGCTGAAGACTTCCTTGGTGTTCATGTGCCTCTGGATTTCTGACGAGTGGTTCATGAAGCTCGACGGAGCCCCCTGTGCCAGTGGAGCTGCTCTTAAAGTCCGGTTGATTCCTATAGCTATACAAAAAAGCACTTAGAAAATCCTTTTTTTTGTTTGTTTTGTAGGAAGTATTGTGAGTGTGGGCGATCCGAAAAAGAAGTACACGTGTTTTGAGAAGATTGGACAAGGGTTGGTATATGCTCCTTCTCTGTCCGATACCTTTCCTTATGCTAAGAAGGAATCACTGAAACCAGGCGATGTTAGTTGGCTGGAAAAGCTATTGGTGGTGCTTTGGAGAGTTTGGTTGGTTGCTTTTTTTGTTTTCTTTTGTATTTTTGGGGGGTTTTGGTTGTTTTGGTGGGTTACACTCACATACACACCCAGCTCTTCCCTCTTTCTTGATCAAGTCTTCAGTCACAGGGATGATTTTTTTTGTGTGATTGCGTTTTAATGTAAGAAAACATGTCATAAGATGATTATGTTGCTAAATATAACTACAAGCAGGGAAGGAACTGCTTATTTTCAGCATGCAAGACGATCTTCACGTTACAGATTTTCTTTCTGCATTACCTCTCCTCAGTGCGGGTGTTGTACCCCTCTGAGCAGGTTAAGGGGAAAATAGGGGTTGAGGTTGAGGAGAGGCTATGGTGCAAGTCACTGAGAGATCTGCTGGCAGCTCCATGTGCTGAGGCTCAGACTCCCGTTGCCCTCGCTACAAAAGCCATATTTGTTTACTTGAGCTGATCCTGTCTGCTCTGTGACCATGCTGGGCAGTTTGCAAGCCAGCGCAGCGCAGTCATGCCCGTTTAAATCGGATCAACTCATGGTCCTACAAGCTGTGCTAAGTTGCTGGTTTAGCAGCAAGGGTTTGGATGACCATTGTTCCCCAGAAATTCTCTGGCTTCTGCTCCAACAGCGGTCTTGGCTCAGAAATATTTCAGATGATATTTACCACTGGGATTATTGCATGAAAAGGATTGGGACTGAGAGCACTTCAAAGAGACAAGTGGGAGGGAGCGTGTGTTAAGCTCTCAGTCTTGCTATGAGGCACTAATAAGTATTTTTCTTCTTTGCTCTCTTTTGTTTAGAGCCTCAGGTACAGTTTACACAGCAATTGATGTAGCTACAGGACAGGAGGTAAGTGCTGCCAGAATGCCACAGCAGTAGATTTTGGATTGTGTCCTGAAAGTTCAAGTTGATGCTGCAAAATAAAGACGGTCTTTCAGGGGTTCATGACATCTTATTTTTAATGAGGTATTTATTTCCTTGCTAATGAGGCATGGTTGACTGGTCTGAGCAGAGAACTGGAAAAAATTATTTCCGAACTTTTGGTTCCTGGATCATTTCATATTTGTCAAGAATCTTTCTGTCAACCACGAAGGCTAGAAGCAAATGTTTGGACTGGATAGTTCCGCAGCAGAAATTTATCTCTCCATCCCTCGGATTCCTGACTGTCCCCATTTAAATTCTTTTATGTGCCCTCTGCTCCTTTGCTTCCTACACTTATGCTAGTTGACTTACATAGAAATAGTTCCTCTCCCACCCTTTGCCCACTTGCTTTCTGCCCTTGAATTGAGAGACAAGGAATCATAGAATCGTAGAAACATAGAATCATAGAATCATATAATGGTTTGGGTTTGGAAGGACCTGAAAGATCATCTGGTTCCAACCCCCCTACCATCAGCAGGGACATCTTCCACCAGACCAGGTTGCTCAAAGGCCCGTCCAACCTGGCCTTGAACACTGCCAGGGAGGGGGCAGCCACAGCTGCTCTGGGCAACCTGTGCCAGTGTTTCACCACCCTCATGGGGAAGAATTTCTTCCCAGTATCTAATCTAAATCTGCCCTCTTTTAGTTTACAGCCATTCCCTTGTCCTATCACTACACACCCTTGTGAAAAGCCCCTCTCCGTCCTTCCTGTCGGCCCCTTCAGGTACTGGCAGCTGCTCTAAGGTCACCCTGGAGCCTTCTCTTCTCCAGGCTGAACAGCCCCAACTCCCTCAGCCTGTCCTCATAGGAGAGGTCAGGCTGTCTGTCTGTATTTTTCTTTCCCCCTGCCGAATATTGAAAAGTGCCCTGCGTGCTGCATGCATGCATAATGAACTAGTGGTGATGGATATGCAGCGTCTGTGGAAACCGTTATTGCTAGATGGCAGATTTTTAAAGAGGAAAGTGTATGCATTATTCCAAATGTATTTATGGAAGTCTGCAGCAATGCATGTCTACTTTTCATTCGTACAATGTCAGGGTTATCCACCAGTGAATTTCATAACTGTGCTTTTTGCGGAAACTCCTTCAACTCCTTTTTCAGTTCCTGAGGAGTGAAGACAGTTTAACTGCAGCCTCTGAGGGAGAGGTTGAGGTGTTGCATTTATTTTGAAGCAAGGAGAAATTTTGTAGGAGGAGGAACTCCTTTGATGGTTTTCCTCTTTCTTTCTGGACCCCTTTGGTGACTCCCATGTGAATATTAAAGTGCTTATATTACAACAGACTTCTAGATCATTCCCATTACACTAGTGTGATCATAGAATGATAGAATGTTTTTGGGTTGGAAGGGACCTTTAAAGGCCATCTAGTCCAACCCCCCCGGCAGTGAACAGGGGCATCTTCAACCAGATCAGGTTGCTCAGAGCCCCATCCAACCCGACCTGGAGTGTGGTACTTCTCTGGGCAACCTGTGCCAGGGTTTCATCACCCTCATTGTAAAAAATGTCTTCCTTATTTCCAGTCTAAACCTCCCCTCTTCTAGTTCAAAACCATTACTCCTTGTCCGGATTGGGCCTTGGATTTTTTAGTTTGCATTTGGGATCGCTGTAACCTTGGCGTCCTGTTGAGCTCTTCCTTTCTGTGAAGCGCGCTGCTACCAATCCTTCAAAACAAAATTCCAAAATCCCTCCAAACACATTTGGAAGCACTGGAAGGAAACTCCTTTATTTTGCGCTCTACAGGAGCCTTGGGCAGCTCCCAGGATTAAAATATTGAAGATTTTCACTGACGATGACTATTCAGTACAACTACAGCTGTTTATTTTGTATCTTAACGCATAGGATAGTCTTAGATAAGGAAAATGTGTGGTGTCTGTCTGTTCTTGATTTTTATATGTTGGGATTTTTGTACAGTCTCCCCTGCTATACTATCAAAATGCTAATTGTATCCATCTGTATTGGTACTCTGTGGCTCGTTTCTTCTTAGTCCTTGCTTTGTGAGCTGGAGTTACTGGCTCCCCTCCCTTCGCCTAGGCCTCTTTCTCTGCAAGTAGCGGTTTTGTAAAGGCGTAATTCCATTTCATTCCCTTTGCCTAAATATTGTACCAAATACAGCTGGGTTGTAACATCTGTGGAAGTGTTTCTGCCTCCCGCTATGCTGAGTAGTCTTACTGGTTTGAAGGCTTTTCTGAGGGCCGGGGGCTCTCATGAAGTTCTGGTAGCGTGGAGGGTTGAACCTAAGAGTTAAGAACATGTACCCTCGTGCTTTCTGTGTGTATACATGAGGAGTTGGTATCCTGAAGCAGGCAGAAAGCTGCTAAGCCAAAGGGCTACAACTGACAGGTCCGTCCTTATTGCCCTTCAGTTATGACTGGGGATAAAGCCGAACCCAGTTCACTTATTTTCAGCTTTTTGTCCAAACACTGGTGCTTCTTTCCCCCGAGTCTTGCTGTGACAGAAAGAAATAGAGTTACCACCTGGAGGTACTAAGCTTAGGCTACGTTATTTACCTCGCTTTCCCCTGGGTCTTGCTGTGACAGAAAGAAATAGAATTACCACCTGGAAGTACTAAGCTTAGGCTACGTTATTTACCTCCTCCGTGCACAGGCGCCCTGCTGTAGATTTCTGGAAGCACAGATTTGCACAGGAGCAAAAAAAGAAACACCCACCAAAAAACTTCCAGAGACATCGAATCCGAAATAAAATGAAGAAGAATCCTTAAAGAAATGAAAAGATTTTGACATATCAGTCCATACTAAAGTAAGATGATCTCTCTCTTCTCCTTGTTACCGAGAAGTTGTAAATGAAGATGGCTATTCAACTGTGACAGAACTGTGACAGTATGAAAAGAGTAATTCCCCTTGTCCTTCTTGGCCTGAAGTATCCTCCAGCGTAAGTGGAAATGGACTGGCTGCAGGAACTCGCAGAATTACTAGAAGGCTGAGCAACCCGTGATGAAAAAGAGTTTTCCCGCTTCACCTGAACGTGGGACTAAAATAATTGACGCTGATACTGGCAGGTTTCTAGGGGACTCCTGTAATAACGCTTTGCTTGGTCTTTCCTCACTGCAGGTTGCAATCAAGCAGATGAATTTGCAGCAGCAGCCCAAAAAAGAACTGATTATTAATGAAATCCTTGTGATGAGGGAAAACAAAAACCCCAACATTGTCAACTACTTGGACAGGTATGTCGTGATTCGAAGAGTCCACAGAGGGGCTCTGGAAAACACTTCCATGTCACTGTCTTTAGTGATCCTGTCTGAGTTTCATGCAGGCATAGGACAACCTTGCATTCTTTAATGCGTGTGACGAGGTTGGGGTGTGGGTGGCTTGGTGGCCTCTCTCCATATCCCAGGAGAATCAGGTCTCTGAGTCAGTATTAGTGGGGTATCTAGGCTCCTGTTAGAGGTGCTGGCAGCAAAAGCGTTAGCAGCATGTGGTTAGGACTCTGCTTTTCAGCTCTCTCCTTTGCCAAATTTGACATGACAAGCCATTTCCTTCCTGCTATTAGAGAAGAAGTAGAAATAGCTTCAACGGTGTTATTTGTATTTGCTTTCCTCTTCCTCTTCTTTTCTCTTCCACTGAGCAAAGGTGACATTCTGCTTGTGGAGGAGCAAACTCCTTCTGGGGTTAGATGGTGATCTTGTCCCCGTGGCTGTCCCCTGAGGTTTTCTGCACAGTAGCAGAACAGTGACGAGGGTGAATGACATGCGACACATTACCAAGCAAGGCTGCTTTCCTGTGGGTGTGAAAAAGGGACAAAAGGAAACCTGGCACAGACGTAAGAACCCTTTGGAAGACAGAGGGAACAGGATTATTCGCTTCCCAAGGCTGGGCTTTGTGGGCTCATGCACATGCTGTGGCACTCCTGCTCATCCTTGGATATGTTACGTCCGTATGGGACAGGTCCTCCGTGAGTCCCTACTTGTCCTTACTGCAAGAGCTGCACCTAATAGCTTATTTCTGTAGAGACCTGCTCTTCTTGTTCTTGAGCTGTTGCCCCTTGGATGGGGACAATAACAGAGCAGAAGCAAGCAGCACAATGGCTGCTGCGCTGAGTGTAAACCGTTTTTAAAATAAACGTGTGTGGCTGTGAAAATTCTGGTCACTGTAGCTCAAGGCAATAAAATGCAGTAAAACGTGGCTGTGGGAGCTCTTCCCCACAGGATGTTAATGCTGTGCATAAGGGTGATGGTAGCAGGGCCATCACCAGCTGTTGGGAGGTTGACTGCTTCGGAAAGAGCAACTGGTGAATGTGCTTCTGTGGGGGTAGGGAGCTGCCTTTGAAAGTGCAAGAAATTCTCGCATCTCCCCTGTTTGAATTCCTGGATGCAAACTGTCAGCATTGACATCTGGGGTGTAATGAAAGCCCAACGGGCAGAAGCACTGCATGGTGGCTTGAATTCATCATCAATGTAACATCGGTGCATCGTGCCAAGCCTTTATGTCATTCACCGTATGTTAAAGATATAGAAAGATATAGAAAGATATATAAAGTTCCAGTCGAGCTGCTGCAGGATTTTCAGTCTCCTGCGCTCACGTCGGAATCCACTGGTCCTGATGATCTTACAGGTTTGACTTGTTGTAGGGTAAAGAGTGCCTAGGTAGGATGGGCTGCAGGCTTTAATCTTGGCAGCTCATTTTTTTGAAGATGCAACAGAGAGATGTGACCTAGAATCTCTTTTGGGAATCCTAGAGGGTATTTGCAAACTTGTTTGCTTGGCATGCATATCAAAATCTTATCAGCTGCTTCGTTAACAGGTTTCTTTAACAGGCTCTTAATGTCTTAGCCCAAAAAAAGTACTTCTTGCATGCTGCAGCATCAGCTGTGATGCTGAATTTATAAGGTGCTGTGTCTTATCCATCGCTGTAAAAATCTACATTGTTGAAGGGACAGAAGGTCTGCTCTGGAAATTTTGTGGCAGGGGTTTGTGTGCAGGGAAGCGATGCCGGCCAGACGCCCTCTTCCTACAAGGAGCAGAAGGATATGACCTGTGCGAAATGAAGCAAGTGGCAAAGAAGAGTAAAGAATTGCATCTGGGCTGAAACTGTTTCTTTCTCCTGGCTGATTAGAAGCTTTCTTTCGGGAAAACTGATGGAGAGACTTGTCCTTCCCATTAGAGACAGCGTCGCTGAGTACATGCACTTGCCTTCTCCAGCCAGTACATCCCAGCCGTAGGGTAGCTGCGCGTCCCGCTGTCTTCTTCAAACTTCCAGCAACAAAAGCTGCTGCTTTTGTCCTCCACTTTCTCTCACTAATCATTTTCAGAGGGATTAGCTTTTGTTTGAGTGCTGCAGGTGGACAGAGCAATAGCTAGGATGGACGCGGGGGTTCTTGTGCCCATCGTGCCGCTTCAGCTTTGCAACTGCAGGATCCTGTTGCTGGGGAGCTGCGTCCCTCCGGCCTGGCCTAACGTCCCTGTTTGCTGCGTGAGCACCGAGTGAAGCTGATATTTGAACACCGCTTGCTGGTTTCTGCCTGCTGCTGTCGCAGAAGGAAGTGCAAGGAGGGATGTGCTTGCCACTGTGGGACCTGGTTTCTTTTCTACGGTTCTGTTTTTGACAGCGTCTCCCCTTCTGAGTCCCTAACGGGAGCTGCAAGATATTTGTCAGCATAAACCAGCTCTCTCGCTTCTCTTTGCCTCAGCTCCTCCCCTTATGCAAGGGTTTGCTGTGCTTTATTCTCCCTGACCTGCTGGCTCGTGGTTGAGAGCTCTGGCTGGTTTACTGTCCCCCCAAGCATCACTGTGCAGATGGTGCATTTATGCTTCAGGCAGCTTTTCTGCTGCGGTGTAAGTGGCCGGTGTTGCACGAAGGTGTGCTGTGACATTTAAGTAGTGACATGGCCCAATTCAGCTGTACTTAGGAGCTGAATTTAGAAGCATCCATCTCTGAAGACAGTGACGCTAGTTTTCCTGTGCAGACAAGCAGCCACTCGTGCTGAGTTACCTTCTGGAGGTTCTTTCTGCCACGTGAAAGGGGCCCTCAGAGCCCTGCTTCTAACCTCGGGCATCTAAACACAGGCATCAGATGCCCAGTGTTAGGCAAAGCTGACTCTCTGCCCTTTGGTTTATTTCATTCTGAAGAGCTCTCCTTAAGCTAATAAATGCCACAGATCCTCACATTAATTGGTAGCCACTGTTACCCTCACCCCAGCCCCAAACTCTCCTAGGGCTGGAAGGTCAGTGGATAAAGCTGAAGATGTATGACACTCGTGCTACAAGAAAACACTGAATTCGTTCTGGCCTACCTTCATGTTTGCACGTTGGAAGCACGTCACTGTTGCAGATATCTGTAATGAATGATCTTGCTCTTCTGGGCAAAAGCAAATTTTATAAAGTTTGTCGATAAAAAAGGAGTTTGACTGCCTGGTGTGTGTGATAGGAAGGGCTTGGTGAACACCTTTCTAAGGTATCTAAGTGGAAGCCGAGGAACACCTTACAGGAGCAGACATTACCTGCACTTGGAGATGGATGAAGAGAAAGCTGTAGAGACCACCTCCTTCTTCCTCAGAGACTTTCCTCAGCTTGTTTTTACAGCCTTGTTTTGGAAGGCAACTGTGGGTGACAAGGTGCAACACTATCCTATGCCTGACATCACATGGAGAGCAGCACGTAGGTGTGTGGACTTTCTGGTGGTGGCGTCTCCAGAACTGCTGAGAGAGTGGTTTTGAGTCACGCCTACAGCAGGCAGCTCCTTCACTACCACCCATTCTTCTGAAATGACATTTGCTCAGCGGCAGCTGGCGGGGGGCCACCATTAATTCCACCTTCCTGCGTGTTATGTCAGATCTATCGATTACTGAGGTGCCTGGGTCTTGGCACGTGCCTTGGCTGCTCGTGGTGCAGCTTTGATTCACAGTGTGGTTCCTGGCTCGCTCCATCGCTTTTGGCTGCAGAGAGATACCAGCTTGCTCCCAGCATGGGCAACTTGAGATTCTCACACAGGAGCAGTGGAGTCCATTGTGGCCCCATCCTTACGGTCAAGTGGGTTTAGGCTGCTAATGGCAATGAAGGGAGGCGTCATGATGTCCAGGGTGACTGATTTTTTGAGAGGATGCTGATAGAATCTAGAGAGAGCCTGGTTTGGCAGAAGCGATAAAGAAGTAGTAACAGCATAGGGGCAGGAAGGAAGGGTGTGAGTAAAATCGTAGAATCATTAAGCTTGGAAAGGACCTCTTAGATCATCAAGTCCAACCATCAATCCAACACTGCCATACCTGCTAAATGATGTCCTGAAGTGCCATATCTACGTGATTTTTGAACCCCTCCAGAGATGGGGACTCCACCACTGCCCTGGGCAGCCTGGTCCAATGCCTGACCACTCATTCTGTGAAGAAATTTTTCCGAAGATTCAATCTAAACCTCCCCTGATGCAACTTGAAGCCATTTTGTCTCGTCCTGTTGCTGGTTACTTGGAGAAGAGACCAACCCCCGCCTCACTACACCCTCCTTTTGAGTAGTTGTAGAGAGCAATAAGGTGCCCCCTCAACCTCCTCTTCTCCAAACTAAACAACTCCAGTTCCCTCAGTCGCTCCTCATCAGACTTGTTCTCCAGACCCCTCACCAGCCTCGTTGCCCTTCTCTGGACACGCTCCAGCCCCTCAAAGTCCTTCTTGTAGTGAGGGGCCCAAACTGGAACACGGCACCCAAGGTGCGGCCTCACCAGTGCCGAGCACAGGGGCATGATCACCTCTCTACTCCTCCTGGCCACACCATTCCTGATACAAGCCAGGAAGCCCGAGTGACTTTCAGAGCCCGTTAGAAGGTAGATGACCCACAGAGTTGGCAGGAGCGCTTCTGAAAGCAATTCTGTGACTCTTCTGTCACTCCAAGGGGCTGCTGTGCAGGTGACACCGCTTCTGCTGCGGAAAACACTGCCAGTGCATCGGCTTCTCGTCCACAGTGGAGTTGGAGACCTGTCTGCTCTGGGAGCATAGCCCTGTGCCCTTGAGCTCTGTATTCTGAAAGAAACTCCGGGCTCTGCCTCACTGCATAGTCTTCAGCATCACCAAACCAAGATACCATTTTTGTCTCCAGTATTACAAGCTCTCCAGAACTGTAGCGCTTCTGTTACGCAGCTCAGATTACAGTTCTTATTTTGGGGGAGTTTTTTCATCAGCTCAGGTGTTGGCAGTGTGTCCTTCTGAGGTCAAAGTGTACCTCCTGCCCACTCCTGTGATGTCTTACTCATCTCTGTCTACTTTCCATGCCAAGTTGGGCTTAATGACTTATTTCTCCTTCATGGTTGCTTTCTAGCTAATTGTTCCCTAGAACCTGTCCTGCTTTTTGCCTTTGGCTCCTAGCGAATTCACTGCTCGCTCTTCAGTGTTCTAGAGCGAAGCAAACGTCTGCTTGATGAGCCAGCAGACGCTTTTAATTAGATTCTCTGCCCTCTCTCTTGACTCATTTGTCCACTCACTTTAAAAATGGGAGGATAGGCTGAGAAGGTGGGGTTTCAAGTTTTCAAGCTGTTCCTTCCTTCAGGAATGTGTGATCCTGATGCATCTGTCATGGAAGATTGTGTTGATGTTTTTCCAGATGGGCCCAAAGCATGATACTTAAAAAAAGGTGTTCTTTCTCTGTTGCTCGTGGGCAGCCATCCATTGTGTCACCCAGCGTCCCTGGGCCTAGGCAAAGTAGGGAGTTGCTTAGGACAGCAGGGTGCCAGCGGTGACAAAGCAGCCCCCAGCCATCCCTTCTGATGCAAGAGCCCCCCAAAGCCACGCTGTGTGCCAAATGTCTGGGTTGCATGCTTGGAGCCTTCCTTGACTAGTAGCTCTTCCTCTTCTCTCCCAGCAGCAGCACGAATGGTAAGGTTGGGTCTCCATCTTAGTCTGGGCCCTTTCCGTGGCAGAAAAATTCAGCCTTGCTTTTATGGCCAGGAAACTCGTAGCCTGCTCTTCCGTTATCTCTTTCCTCGACTTTCTGCACTCACTCTTCCTCTGCCCATTCAGGTTGTGATCAGATCCTCCCGTGTACAGAAAGTACCACGGGTACCTGGTGCTAAAGACACTGCTCAAGCCTCACGGTTTCTCTGCTCTTCTGAGACAGCTTTAAACCCCATTGCATTCTGCCTGGGTGAACGGTGCCGTGCTCGTGCTTGCTGATTTTAAATCTGGTTTTGGCTCTTCAGTTACCTTGTAGGAGAAGAGCTCTGGGTGGTCATGGAATACTTGGCAGGAGGCTCCCTGACAGATGTCGTGACAGAGACCTGCATGGATGAAGGACAAATCGCAGCTGTGTGCCGAGAGGTAAAGCAACACTCGCGCTCGGAGGGAGCTGTGATTGGGAAGGGGACAAAGGCTTCCTGCGACCTGTCACTGGCTCCGTAGGAATAGCTGTCTCCAGCTTCTGTAACACAGCAGTCGTTCCTTCAGAGGATGGATTTCATCTGGGAGGTTGCAGCACGCAATCCCAATGCAAGCCTAAGAAGTTTCACCCTAGAGGGAGGACTGGAGTACAAAGTGGGGTTGGAATCCCCTCGGTTATGCCTGTTTGGGACTAACCTGTCCTCCTAGGACCCGCTGATCCCAGTGAGATATCTCTCTGTAGCCCTGGCTATACGAAAGACACTAAGACACTAAGCCCTTGCTACTCAAAGTGCGCATTGTTAGAGTCCATTAGTTGCTAACTGGGACTGGTGAATAATTTCATGCACAGTAAGAATATCTCTATTACTCTATTTTTTTTTTTCAGTGTCTCCAAGCTCTGGAATTCCTCCATTCAAACCAAGTTATTCACAGAGACATCAAGAGTGACAACATCCTGCTGGGAATGGATGGCTCTGTCAAACTAAGTACGTGGGGAACAGCAGTGATGATAACTTGAGTTACAAACCCCGGTCTGTTATCAGCTATGGGCCAGGCCTGTCAGGGAGATGGGTGCTTGAGATGCTTGATGCTGTGATGATGAAGAGACTTTAGAAATGCTCCCCTAGGTATTTTTGTGTCATTGGTTTTAATGGAGATTGGCAAGCATGAATCCTTGTGAACGGATACCAGACTCGAAGTGAAGTTTGGGGTTTGTTTAGCTTTGGGTCATCCATTGGTGACCTTATAGCAGCCTTCCAATACCTGAAGGGGCCTACAGGGAGGATGGAGAGGGACTTTTCACAAGGGTGTGTCGTGATAGGACAAGGGGGAATGGCTCTAAACTAAAAGAGGGCAGATTTAGATTAGATATTAGGAAGAAATTCTTCCCCATGAGGGTGGTGAGGCCCTGGCCCAGGTTGCCCAGAGAAGCTGTGGCTGCCCCCGCCCTGGCAGGGTTCAAGGCCAGGTTGGATGGAGCTCTGAGCACCCTGGTCTGGTGGAAGATGTCGCTGCTGATGGCAGGGGGGTTGGAACCAGATGATCTTTCAGGTCCTTTCGAACACTTACCATTCTATGATTCTATGATTCTATGATTCTATGATCTATTTTTGTGGACTGAAGTAGCAGTATTTTAATGCTACCCCAGTCTAGAAAGCTGGATTTGAAGGTGTAGGGCCAGAAGTCTTTATTAGTGAATGATCTCTTCAGTCTGGAAAATACTGCGGGTAGTTGAGAGACAGGAGGAGTGGAGGGAGAACTGAAAACTCTGTAACTAGGAAACATTTAGTCTTGCAACGCCAACCCAGACTGGACTCTAAATGTTGTTTCCTCCTTGTGGTATCACCGGTAATGAAGCCCTTGGGACTGTTGTGCCCTCAGGTGCTAAGGTAGCAGTTCGGCCTGTCATTGTCCATGCAGAAATAAGTCTGGAAACTAGTGAATTATTATCTTCCACCTATAGCTTGAACAGAATTGTGCTTCTTTTCTCTCCCTCTCAGTTCTGCTGGCTGGCACCCAACAGGCATAAATAAATCTATTTTTGTCGGCAGTAACAGCAGATATGACTCAAAATTCACACAGTGCAGATATGCTGAGTAAGAAGGTGGGGGTTTTTTGCACATAATTGCTTTTTAAACTAAAGCTGTACTTTGGTACAGTCAGATCTCTGGAGTGTTGGCGATGAATAGCTGATCAGGGCCAAAGTGCTCTCTTCTTACGGAATAACTTCTGTGAGCACAGTATGCAGGTACCGGGCTGTAGTTTAAAGTTAGAGAAGTCCCTGTGGATGTGATGCCGTAACCTTCCGGACCTGAGCTGCTTATTGGCTCTGCTGGAAGTTTGCTCTGTTTATGAACCATATGTACCTTTCCTGGTTGTTACCCTTGATGAAAACTCAGCTAGGGATCAGTTTAATTTTCGTCATTCTGCCTAAAATTAGACCCGCGGTGCCATAGGGGGTCAGGATGGGCAGTGCATCTTGCTGTGTTGATTCTGCTGGGCTCACAAGAACAGAATTAGTTTTCTTTTGGTAAGTCAAATACAAATGAGACATAGAACCTAGCAGTCCATCTTTCTGTGTATTTGAAGAAAATAATCAGTGTAAATTTAGGTAGTTTGAATTTATTTTGGGCACTGTTTACTCTGTGAAGCAAATCGTGTTGGAGGGATGATATATCTACTGGGGAAGTAATGCCTCTGGGACTGAAAATATCACCAGACAGTACAGTGTGTGGGCTGCGGAGTGTATCAAGATCAGGTTGTGCATTAATTTCTATTTTCACATACCCAGTGGCCATCTATTACGTAGTGTATTACGGCTGCATAATGCTGCAAACCCAGTCAAGTGTCTGAACATTCATATACGGTTATTTACTGATCCCCATCGTTCAAGCAGACCAGTCAACAGCTCTGTAATCCTCAGTGAGTCAGATGTAGAAACTTACCTCTCAACACTGTCCGCTGTGTTAGCCACAAAACCACCCCTCCTTTCACAGCTTGAGCAGCAACGCACCAGACACTGCAGCAGGGGAACGTGTACTACAGCTCTGCCAGCAGTAAGCGTTGTTTTTGGAGAAACTTGCTGATTTCTGCGTCTCTTTCTTTCCCCCTCCCCTCTTTAATTTTCCAGCTGACTTCGGCTTCTGTGCCCAGATCACCCCTGAGCAGAGCAAACGCAGCACCATGGTGGGGACCCCGTACTGGATGGCACCTGAAGTGGTGACGCGGAAAGCGTACGGGCCCAAAGTGGATATCTGGTCGCTGGGGATAATGGCCATCGAGATGATCGAAGGAGAGCCCCCCTACCTCAATGAGAACCCCCTGAGAGTAAGCGAGTACCTTTTGCCCCCAAGTCTGTGCTAAGCCTGCTGATGAAACTAGGCTCCAATGGAGGCAGGTGAATCCTCCAGTGTGGCTTCACCACCTGCAGCCCTGTACCTCCTTAGATGTTGTAGTGAGAAGATCGAGACAGTTTAAGTTAAAAGCAATAGTTTGCTCTGGGTAGCAGAGCTTTGGGTTCCTCCTTTGCAGACCCCCTGGTCGGCTCTGATGAGTTAGGTCATGCACGCTCCATAATTTCCCACTTTTTGGAGATGCTGATATAGGCAGGAGGAGTACCTGATGGCACCAAAGCAGCTGACTGCTTGAATCCTTGTGCCCTGTGAGTGGGGAAGAGTTCTCCTTCAGTTCAAAAATATGTTGTGTTACTATTCTATAAACAGAGCTTTTCCCTATGGGCGGATTGTTCCTCCTTGTGTGCTGCACATAAAACTAGAAGCTCAATAAGCCTTTAGATAGGGATTAAGCCTCCTGATGTCTTCCCCTTGTTTAGATTTTAATGAAAGGGGAGGTGCTGTCAGTTTGTAGGGACATAACTGCTCTTAATGTAAGCCAGGCTTATGGCTTCTCACTTAGCCACATAGGGTGGGGGAATCCAGAAAAGTTCTGCTTAACTTTTGTCTCCATCTCTTGCACTGGAAGTGATTTTTGGGAGGGAAGAACAACAACAAAGAAGAGTGAAAGGAAAGAAACTGGGTACTGAGTTAAACGAGGGTGGCTACGTAACAGTGCTTTGGCCTCATGTGACTCAGCTTGTGCCAGTTCCCGGCCTGTCAGGCTGCTCCCATGGGCTGTGCTGAGCCACGTGCTCAGAGGGCCGGCGGATTAACAGGTCACTGACAGATTTCCCTTTCCTTTGAAAATCCATCCAGGAAGTTTCTTGCGTGAAATCCTGAAATGGATGAATTCCGAGTTCCTTGATTCTCCGAGGGGGTGCGTGTGTGAATGCTTCGTCCCCAAGCAGGAGCAAAACTGCTTGTTTCTGCAGGGTGTGAAAAGCTGCTTGAGGGTCTGCTGGGCACCTTTTGTAAGGAGCCAGCTTTGTACTATTGACTTTCTAGGCCTTGTGCACTCAGGCTGAGTACCGACAGAATAAAATCTCCTATTTATTCAGGGCTACCTTCCCATGAGGATATAGTTATTGCAGGAGTCTAGCACTGGTAGAGTCATGCCAGTTAACTTCCCTGTGTAAACACGGTCTGGAATGTTGTTTTTGTCCTCCTAATCCCTCGAGAGGGCTGCAGGATCCAAACCCAGATTACGAGGGTGAAACAATAAAGGATTGGATCCCATCCACATAAAAAGAGGGCTGGCAGCTATTCTGTTTGCTGAAACTTAAGCATTGATTAGTTACTCTGATAAGGTGGGGATTTTTTTTCTCTCTTTCCATTGACCTGGAGGGAGAGGGAGGAGAAATGAGTGTCTCTGTAATCCAGAGATGGAATCTAGCGTTCATAACCTCCTGTTTCTTTGGTGCTTGTTTGCGCTTTAGGCTCTGTATCTCATTGCTACTAACGGGACTCCGGAACTGCAGAATCCGGAAAAGCTTTCACCCATATTCCGAGACTTCTTAAATCGCTGTCTTGAAATGGACGTGGAAAAGAGAGGTTCTGCAAAAGAGCTGCTGCAGGTAGGTGATGGGGAACAGGGCTGAGTCAATGTAAGCGTGCAGTCCCGAGAGAGGGCAGGCTTATGGCGAGATCTTAAATACTGCGTCAGCTGAAGGCACAAGCGCAGCTAAGGTAACCTGCCAGAAAAAAGGAAAAACAACCCCAAAACCTAAATCTATAATAAAACGTTAACAGACTACTCCCTCTTCATCCTGTACTTCCTACTAGCAGCAGCGGTGCAGCGTGTTCTGTAACCAACCTCAAATAATAGCTGTGCCCCAGGCCTGCCAAATGCTGAGCCTCTTCATCCCTGTGGCTTCTTCACACAGCTGGCTGTGACATCTGTATGTGTAGTTACAGTCTTGCCGTGCTTATTCCGATTTGGGCAGCAGGAAGGCTTCTAGCTATGGGATGTTCTGGTTCTCTCCCTTCCAGCGGAGTGCTCACAAAGCTCTTTGGAATATGCACGGCTTGCGTTAACTGGAGCAGTTTGGCGTTACCGCGTTTTTCCAGCTACTGCTCCTTACAGAGGTGATGGAACAAAGCTTGTGAGATATCATAGAAGCATGGAATGGTTTGGGTTGGAAGGGACCTTTAAAGATCCTCTAGTCCAACTCTCCTGCCATGGGTGGGGACCCCTTCCACCAGACCAGGCTGCTCCAAGCCCCGTCCAACCTGGCCTTGAACACTGCCAGGGAGGGGACAGCCACGGCTGCTCTGGACAACCTGGGCCAGGGTCCCACCACCCTATCATCAGTTATTTCACTGAAAACCTGATGTCTTAATCTGATCTCCTGGTGTAAGGGAAGGGCCAAGCTGCCAGGCTTTTTACCAGCATGGATGAGAGGAGTGGTTCCTGTGTTCCTTCTTTCAAATTTGCTGTGGGGGTGGAAAATGTAGCTCTTTGTAAAAGAAATCTGTGGTCAGGGGCACTCAGACCTCAACTGTGAGACAGTTCCCTTTTTTGTTTTCCTTTCTTTCTGCTACTTTGGTGGATTCAGTTTTGGATGTGTTGCTGCCTTCTGAGACTGTAATGAAGCATTAATCACTGGCAGCATAGCAGTAGTTGAAAGATCACTTTTTCTCCTGGACTTTCCAGCTCCAAAATATCAGAGAGCAGTAATGTTCTGTTCCTTGGAGAACATTTTGATTGTAACACTTCTGCCTGTTTTT